GCAACCACAAAATTATATACTCACATTGTAATAACTTACAACAAAAACCTGCGACGTATTGACTCATGATCATGATTAACAATATTAAAAAAATTCCGTCCCTCTACTCCACCCATTTAAAAATTTAAATACTCTACCCTTATTTTTCGTAATAAAACTGATAATGGATTAATTTGTTTTAAATTTATTAAGCTGATATTTTTACTTTATATGAACCGACGATCGAGTTACCTAGTGGTCAAAGTATACTTGGCTGCCTCTCGATCTCGACTCGTGGGTTCGATTTCCAGCCGGATATTTGTGCAATACTCGTTATTAACTCTGTTTCTGCTACTCAGTCCGGCGAGTCTAACTGGACGTTACTGCTGCGTAAGCGATAACCATAGCTTGATAGGTGCTACTGTGTTAGAGCTACATTTTTTGGGTTACACTTGGAATTTAATAACGTTGTTTATAGCTTCCAAAAACATTTGAAGGTGACGTTTTGTGTCACTCTGTAACCAATATACAAACAAATTTCTCAAGTTTTCAAGAGACAAATATAAATTAGTTTTTAAAAAGAAGTGCGGTAAAAGAAAAGTATGATTATTTTACTGGGTAATAAACCTCAGATCTCGCACGCGATTCGCTACAATCCGCAATTTATTTCAGGCTGAAGGTGAGCGGTATAAACACATGATGTCATTGTTCCTTTATCTGAACAGAGTTATTTCTTGTTATATTATCTACCAGCTGTGCTGATTGCCCCAAATATTAACAAGGCACCATTTGCTAGGTAAAATTATTGATTATTTTCCGCACGCAACCTTTTTACCCTACTTGTTAACGTTGTTTAAGGTCGTATTATTGTTCTCATACTTGACATATACTCTGAAAGCAATTAAATTAAAATGAAAGCAATAGGTACATATACTCTTACAACGTACTTTTAATACGTATAGCTTATCGATAAAACTAATTTGAGTACTATAATTTCATAAGTTCAATCTAAATGGATTATATTCTCAAGTTAAAGTAATAATTTATAGTATTTTATTCTACACACAAGCAGGGAAACAAATCGGGAGATAGGTAGCAGAGTTTTCCTGATAACGAAAAACATAAAAACTGCGGTTGACAACCCGCTTGCCAAGCGTGGCAACTGTGACAAATATCGCCCCTATAAGGCAATGTATGTGGGAGACCCATGTTCAACAATGATCTTTAATAGGCTTTAAGCGACAATAGCCTAATGGCAGGGCGCGGACCGCGAACTTAAAAAGGTCGTGGGTTCGAATCCGCCATTCGACTACTGGCGTGAACCACTCGTAACACAAGCAATTTAAGCTTACCACTAGTGGTTAAGGGAAATATTAGTAATGTTTATAGCATTGTTAATATTCTTTAAAAAAAAAAAAAAAAAGAAAAAAAGGCTGTTATGACAACAGCACACTTGGCAAACATTCAACAACTACATTTAAATGAATGCTAACAAATAGTAATATATCGAATTAGCTATAATTTGTACGTCGGTCGCCCGTGCACACGCTTTGCTTGGATATTCTATATTTAATCATATTATTCTATATTTAATCATAGTATTGGCCCATTTCAATTGAAGTTCAATTGATGTCTCGGCTATGTAAACTTCGGGGACGGGAATCATTCAATTCTTTAAAGGCATTATTCACCGCCTTAACGGAATTGATTGTTTTTTCAAATTCCCGAAAAAATTGAAATCAGTAAGAGCGAGCTGGTACATCATCGTCATTTTTCTGCTGTAATTGTTGTACCAGATCTTAAGATCTGTATAAAATAAACCCTATAATCACAAGCAGCTTGTTTTGACTCTATTTGCATTTGTGACATGATTTGGCGGCATCCATTTTCAGCATTTGAACGTCCGTGATCATACGTGATATTTGTTTCTAGGGTGAGTTTATAAAAAATACAAAATACGTGAAAAAATATTCCGACTTTTAAATGATGAAGTAAATTTATTTGAATTTGGCTCATAACCTAAAAACACAGCAGCATCAAGCTACCATTTCACGCTGGTATTCTGTGAGAGCGTGGTCCTTCCCCGGTCGAGCCGATCCATTCGTGCTACAACTATACTACTAATATAACTGCAGCATAGCTCTACCACGTACAAAATATAATTAATAATAAATATACATTGTTATTGTCTTACTACTGAGTCTGAAAATCGGACAGTGGAAGTATTAAACCTATTCTTCACATTTCTTGCAGACCGGATATCCTCGTAATAGGTGAATTCTTAATAAATAATGTTGTATTTAAATAAATTAAGTACTCTTCACAGTCAAAACTTTTTATTTCATTTAGGTTCGCTTAAAGCTCTTATGAGCGTCAAAATTTATTTGACATATTACTTTTATTTTGTAATGTTGAAGTTAAAAACTAAATTATAAAGAACACTAATAAAAAAACCGGCAAGCGTTTTTATTTGTGTTCAATTGAAAAACAACCATTCACCTCGTAACCAAAGTTTCCTTACCAAGCAAACCATGACACCAATTAAAGACAATCTACGATGACATCATATTTATGGTTCGCCATTGCCGAATATAGGCAGGTTACCTTAGGAAGGTTAACTTACGTGCATAGCATATACGATGAAACACTCCTTTAATCGTATCAATGCACGATCACCATGGGCGGATGTTAACACTCATATAAATTTTCAATGATTTGAAATTACAAATAGCCGCTCAGGGGCTAAGCGTTCGCTGTAAATTATACAGTACGCAAGCAATCCGGGTTCGATCCCTGCCGGCACCAATGAAATTGTTAATTGCAATTTTAATTTCTGATTTACCAATTGCTCGGCGGTGAAGGAAAACATCGGAGCAAACCTGCATGTCTAAGAAATAAAAACATATATTTCAAAGATATGCGAAGTTCACCAACACGCATTGGGGCACCGCGCCAGACATTTCCTTGCCCTAAAACTCTCTCAAAAATTAGAGGAGGAGGCCTGTGCCCAGCTGTGGGACGTATATAGGCAGTAACTTCAACTGTTTTCGGCTTTTAAAATTACGTAATATTGATATTTATGACAATGATGCAGTCTTGAATAATTTGGACCACGGCTATAATATCGATATAATACCGATTTAATATCAACTGCGCATCAGATATGACAGTGCGATAAATGTTCAAACCACGGAATAGGCTAGGACTGTGGCAGAAACATACAGTAGAGCGTCGATTATCCGAACGTCGATCATCCGAACGATCGCTTACCGAACTGCTACAATACCACGCTTAGATGCACCCCTCCCTCCTCTCAACGCCCGCAGTGCCCAGTGTTGGCCTACGTTCAGTACCATATCGGTGTACCCTATCGCTGTACCGCTGCCTGCACCTCATCAATTAGCGGTTCAGAAAATGAAGACGAAAATATACCTACTTTTTTTGAAGCGTTTACATGCTTGGATTTTCGATGGTTTGAAGCTTAAAATGAAAGCGATCAGTATCAGATATCTGTCCTGAAAAAAGAGCGTGACTTAGTTGCGCGTAAGAGGGTAGGTTTGCTTCGACAGACCAAAATTAGACTTCTTTAAGCTTTAATTATATAGGCATACCGTATGTTCAATTATTTATTATACGATATTTTTTTGTTTACCAAGCTCTCTATTATTTATTTATATCCCTATTTGCAACTGTAATAAACAAAATTTGTATTATACTTATATAATATGCTTTATTGGTATTTTGGTACATAAAATTGTAAAGTTCGATTATCCGAATAATTCGGTTTTCCGAACGCCAGACTATACATTTATTATTATGAACAAACAAGAGAGTCAACAGCCTGAGTTTTGCTGATATTTTGGATACGGTTAGGATTTGACTGCCTCGTTAGTCTAGTGCAGGGGTTGCGAACCTTTATGTATCAACGTGCCATTTTTCTAAAGAAATGTTTAATTAGGTAATAGACGTGCCGTAAAATAATTTTGACTTCGTGATTATTGTGAAAATAATAGTACAAAGTACTATCGACTCACAACTCTATTTACTACAAAAAATAAATAAAGAGTGGAGTAGTTTTTAGTGAGTTTTAAAATACGTTTTGCAATGTATAACAATAAATGTTTTAGTTATACGCGTAATTCAAATTAAAGTAACATTAGTTTGACTTCTGTTGTTGCAAATTAGATGACAAATAACTTATATTGGGGTTGTAAAATCCTAAATATAACACAAATGAACTTTTAAATACAGTTGTATCAACGAAGTTGACTATTACGTTGTGCGTAAACGAACTATGCATTCCTTGGGTGAGGCGTGGACTTGTGAAGGGCTGTAATGGTGATGATAATGAAACGAACTATGCGTCAGTCCACGATGTAACTTGGATCACTCGCGTTCTTTCGTAATATAATAATACTCCATAGTGAATTTTGTGATCGGTGGCGTGACCAAAATATTGTGTCGCATGCCATTGGTTCGCCATCCCTGGACTAGTGATCGTAAGCGCGGCTGCTGATCATGAGGTCTGGAGTTCAATCGGGCCAAAATCAGTCATTGAGTTTTCTGTAAAGGAATTTTCAGTACCAGCCAGAAGTCAGAAAGTTGACGGTTTCTCCCCCGTGCCACAGAAGCATGTGAAGCCGTTGGTCCTCCATTTGATTTGAGAGTGAGGGAATAGTAGGTTCTCCTGTGTTTGCGCACACAATGATGCACTATAATCTTGTCCTGCACAGATGGCTAGACTCCGCTTATATTAGCTGCCGTGACCGCAATTCTATTTCGAGGACACTAGTAAGCGTTAAAACTCCCCCCTCATTTAAGTTGTATTAGGTCCTATAGAGGCTTAGTCCTTAAGCCTTAGGTCAGTCCAAGGGTTTTAAATGTTGTCGTTATTCTGTCCGCCGCGTCGTGGTAATTCTTTTAGTACTTACTTTCCACTCTACAAAAGGGGTAAAAAGAAATGTATAATTTCTGTATCTTAATATTATTTAAAGGGCTAAATTGTAAATGTATTTTTGCAGACACAGTTAGCTGAGGCACGTGATATAAAATTTACGCAGACTCTGACAGAGCCCTTGTGTATCGGCTCTCATATCATATGTACAGGAACGCCTACTGAAAATGTACCATGGTAAGTTTTTTTCTTTAATAAAAAGTCGCTGTACAAAGAGCTTAAAGCTCAAAGTATAATTATTTGTAGACAATCTACATACTTGTATTGTGTGGAAACAAAACCCGCGTCCCGTAGAGTCGCAGACAAACGCTTAGCCACTTGCCGCAGCGACAATTGACTTACAAAATTTACATAACACCTTTTTATCTCGTGATTGTGGCGAAAGTCAACTCGGTTTATGTTATAGAATCGTTGAGTCTTGTACTAAATTGTGGTACCCAAAATGCTTGCCACTACACATATTTAGTAAATGGCAAGCAGCATCTATTTTGCGAAGAATCCTCAATTGCCATAGCCAAAATGATTGATAGAATCAGGCGTTACTTTGCGGAAATCCATTGTAATAAAGATAATAATTAATTTGCAACCATCCGCTTAATCAAATACAATGATATGTCTTACCGGTCTTAGCGGTCAGCCGCCGTAGAGTCTACATCACCTGAAGATGCCTCGTGTAGAGGCGAAACACGTGTCGTATTATCGTCGATTGTGTGTCTTTCCTGGAATAGTGGTGTTGGGAGTAGTGGTGCGGGAGAGTTCTGGGTATACTGGTGACGGGATTAGTGCACGCAATTGAGGGAGGGCGGGAGGTACTCTTCAATCCAGGTAAAACACATCATTGTATTTGATTAAAAGGATGGTTGCAAATTAATTAATATCTTTATTATAGCCAAAATGGTTGCTATCTATGATATTTAATTTTATTATTAACTATAATCCGTTTGGAAAAGGTCTATTTATTTATTTTTATTTATTTGTACTTCGTAGAACCTAACTCCTAAAATTTAAATCTTTCCTACGTGGTAGAGCCACGCTACAGTTATATTATTGTTGTAGCTCGAATGGGTCGGCTCGACCGGGGAAGGACCACGTTCTCACTACTAATATATAATACTAGCGTAAAATTGTAACTTAATATTAATGCTGCTGTGTTTTGTATGGTGAGTGTTAAGAACCGGAGACTCCTGTTACCGGAAACGAAGCATTGCATCTTAGTCCTCAGGGGTAGCAACGCATCTGCATTTTGATTCTTAATCGAGATAAACGTAGATGTCTATGGGCCACAGCATCAACTTACCATCAGGTGGACTATGCTCGTTTGTCACCCTTATTCAATATTAAAAAAAAAACAATAATAAAACATGGATCACTGGAGGGAGTGATAACACTCACTTCAACGTTATTGATGAATAACTGCTAGGATCTAATGCCATATAGATTATTATAGATCAAGTCTGTGTGAAATTCCGTTGAATTATCGAAAAATATTATGAATTCTTGATAGTAATTCGAGGTTCCACGTGTGTCAAAAAGTCGCATAGTTATAGCTAAGCAGCAATATATATTGTTTCTATGTTCGCATTAAACATTGTGCATATAAATAATTAACTTATTCTTTATAAAAATACCACCTCTATAAACATTGTTTTCCGTTAATCATTGCAACTAAGGTTCCATAATGTTATTTGACTTACTCTAGGTTACGATGAAAATAGTCAGTAGTTAGGTTGTACCAGTTCTGGCGCACTTGTAGAAAGGTTGTACCAGTTCTGGCGCACGACGTTCGTCGACCCACAATCCTAAAAAAAAAAAAAAAAAAAGGTTTTGGCATGCTCTGATCACGAATCTGCGGTCCATTTTTGCGTAGGATGCACGGTTCCAAAGATGAGCAGATCAATTAACTCTTATCTAATTGATATCCGCTACGAGCCTCAACCGTCGATAAAGATAAATAAAAAGTATCAAAATTATCGACGTCTAGGTCACAAATTATAAAGGCCGTAGCATTGTTAGCATAGCCATTGTCGCAACCGATTATTTTAATTTGTGCAACAGCCAACAACTTTTAGTTCTTGGACGTTACTGAAATGACCGTGACGTGTTGCCGTAACATGTTTCCAAAAAACCACTCATCCCTAGTTTTTTTTTTTATAGAATATGGTGACAAACGAGCACACAGTCTACCTGATGGTAAGTGGTTGCTATGGCCCATAGAGATTTATATCTATCCTCGATTACGAATCAAAATGCAAATGCGTTGTCACCTGTGAGGACTAAGATGGAATGCCTCTTTTCCAGTAAAAATGTTTTCCGGTTCTTTACACTAACCATACGAAACACAGAAGCATTAAGCTAGTATTCTGTGAGAGCGTGGTTCTTCCCTGGTCGAGCCGAGCCGACCCATTCGTGCTACAACTATACTACTAACGCTACAACTATACTATAACTGCAGCATGGCTCAACCGCTTATAAAATAACTTTTGTCGGTAAAAAGTAAATTAAGAAATCCTAATTAAATAAGAAAAATTAATAGTCCTATACTTTATGTGCACAATTCTTGGTTTCTTATATTTTCAATTTGCTTTTATTGCCCGAAATATTATGCTAACTTAAACATTTAAACGAAGGAAGGCCTACATATAATGTCGGGTAAGGCGAAGAAGCGTAACTCCATTAGACTATAGTAGTTAGGTTGTACCAGTTCTGGCGCACTTGTAGAAAGGTTGTACCAGTTCTGGCGCACGACGTTCGTCGAACCACAATCCTAAAAAAAAAAAAAAAAAAAAAAAGGTTTTGGCATGCTCTGATCACGAATCTGCGGTCCATTTTTGCGTAGGATGCACGGTTCCGAAGATGAGCAGATCAATTAACTCTTATCTAATTGATATCCGCTACGAGCCTCAACCGTCATTCCCTAGCGCTCCATTGTCCTTATCTACTTATCTATTGTTGATTGACTAAATTAATTATCTATTATTCGTCAGCTTGTGGGTCGGCTTATGCTATTGTATTATACTCCTTTGTTCCTATCTACAACACTAATCTGAATCATCAATAAAACACATTACCTAATTTTGTTAAAATTTTTATTTATGAAATACAAAATCTTATTACTTATTATCTATAAAATAGGAGTGAAACATCTCATCCACTAACATATCGTTGTACAATGTATTCTCTGTAAATATACTCGTAAAACTATGCATTGAACATCCCTGAAACTTATATAGCAAATACATTAAGCAATATTCGCCACAAACTGAAGTCCTATCAACATTCCAGTTCCATCTTTTAAACACATTACCTAATTTTGCTAAAATTTTTATTTATAAAATACAAAATCTTATTACTTATTATCTATAAAATAGGAGCGAAACATCTCATCCACTAAAATATCGTTGTACAATGTGTTCTCTGTAAATATACTCGTAAAACTATGCATTGAACATCCCTGAAACTTATATAGCAAATACATTAAGCAATATTCGCCACAAACTGAAGTCCTATCAACATTCCAGTTCCATATTTTAAACACATTACCTAATTTTGTTAAAATTTTTATTTATAAAATACAAAATCTTATTACTTATTATCTATAAAATAGGAGCGAAACATCTCATCCACTAAAATATCGTTGTACAATGTGTTCTCTGTAAATATACTCGTAAAACTATGCATTGAACATCCCTGAAACTTATATAGCAAATACATTAAGCAATATTCGCCACAAACTGAAGTCCTATCAACATTCCAGTTCCATCTTTTAAACACATTACCTAATTTTGTTAAAATTTTTATTTATAAAATACAAAATCTTATTACTTATTATCTATAAAATAGGAGCGAAACATCTCATCCACTAAAATATCGTTGTACAATGTGTTCTCTGTAAATATACTCGTAAAACTATGCATTGAACATCCCTGAAACTTATATAGCAAATACATTAAGCAATATTCGCCACAAACTGAAGTCCTATCAACATTCCAGTTCCATCTTTTACAATTTCGTACAGGTGCCCGTCCATATGAATCAAAATATTCACCGACGTCATTCGTATCGATATATAAAGCTACCCAATGTGACCCTGGTTTATCATCTGTACCCAAATTGCATATTACCTAGTCAGGTCATAAATTCTATCACATGTTTAATGTAAAATAATTGAAACAAGTTTATTCATTATGTAACCATTTATATACCAAAATGAACTTAACAAAACATAGATTCTTATGACACTATAGTTTATTCAAAATGACCTCCGTAATTTTGAATACAGGCCTTCAATCTGCGCGGCCAGTCGTCTATCTCACCACGAACGAGGTCCATGTCATATCGGCGGCTGCCTTAATTAAAGATGTCTTGAGTGACTCGAAATTGGGATGAGGCTTTGAGCACGCCTTTTCCTCCAAGTGTTACCATATCTTGTAATCTAACGGATTCAAATCTGGACTGGTCTTTGTGTCGGATGAAGTCGATTTCACGCGCCGCCAGCCAGTCTTTTTTTTTTTGTTTTTAAAGAACGTTACCTCCACACTAGGTTTTTCTCCTGTATCGTGGGGGCAGTTTACAAACACAAATTTCACAAGGACAAACATCCAAACTCGGAACAATTACTTGTAGGTCGTACAAATACTTGTTCCGTGCGGGATTCGAACCCGCGACCCCCAAGCGCAGCCACTCATTGCTAAGCCACTACGCCACGGAGCTGTCAAAAGTCTTGTGTGCTCTTCGCTCTATGAGCTGACGCCGAATCTTGTTGGAATACCCAGTGCCTGTTATTGAACATGGTATGAGAAACAGGTTACACAAGGTTCGTCAGGACTGTATTTTGATACACAACTGCATTCGTTTTTAACCTTTCTCACAAAAATGTACCTCTGTTAAGCCCCAATAAGAAACTCCCAACCATACCATGAGCGAGGATGGAAAATGACCTCGTTGGACACGCGGAATACGGTTGCTCGCTTCTTCACTACTGTGTGCGTACACCTTATCATTTTGTTTGTTGTAGCTCTCTTCTACGGTAAAAATTTTTTTATCCGAAAAAAGAATTTCCCGATATTTTTTTCCCGCGTACCGCTTCACCAAAGCGCGGCATCTCTTCAGTCTCAGATCCATTAGACGAGCATTCAAACGATGTCCTGTTTTTCTTCGATATGCCCGAAGCCCTAAGTCTTC